GCAGCCACAACCGCAGCATCGCCCGGATCCCTGTGGAGGCTTTTTGATGATCATCCCCCGGCACGAGTCCTCCAGAGAGTGCTGATGCCGGAAGCTCCTCCTCATATCGTATCTTAGTTCATTTTCTGGGTATCCAAGCTAGGCCTTGATCTTCTGCATAGAAACAAACAGAGCTTGGCCATTTTTAAAATAAAGTTATACATATACTTGCTGTATGACCCAGCAATTCCATTTCTGGGTATTTATCCAAGAGAAATCAAAACAAATGCCCACAAAAAGAATGCTTAAGAATGTTCATAACCTCTTTCTTCAGAATAGCCCAAACTGGGAACAAAGCAAATGCCCATTAACTGTTGAACAGATAAACAATTTGTGGTTTAGTCATACATTGGTATGCTATATAGCAATAAAAAGGAATAGTTCATTCAATAACGTGAGAATCTCATAGACATTATGTTGAGCATAAGAAAACAGACACAGAAGAGAATGATTCTACTCTGAGTGATTCTAGAACAGTCTAAAGTAAACCATAGTGAGAAAAATCGGATCTGTGGTTTCCTGAGTGTGGGAATGGCATCATTGTCTGAGGTGGTAATGAGGGAGTTTCTTGGGTTATAGCAAGATTCTGTATTTCAGTCCAAGTTGTTACAGGGGGTTTATAATTGTTAAAACTCATGAAATATATACTTATAATCTGATTTTTATTGCAAATATATTTTACCCCAATAAAGTCAATTTAAAAAATGAATTACTTGAGGGCCTGAGGACTAGAAGGGAAGTAGAGTTCCTGTAAACCGCTATTCTCTCAGTGGTGCCTGCGTGATAGGGGAGTCCTCCTGCAAAACACCAAGCCTTTCAACCTATACAGATTGTATCAAAATCCTGAGATTTGTGCATCACTAAGCCTATTAGGTTTACACGTTGCTCTCCAGAAGTGATACTCCATTTTAAGCACCGTTTCCTACCCATCCCAGTTATTTGAGGCTTCCTTCCCAAGTATTTGTGATCAGCTAGAAAAAATAATCACTTAAAAAAATAATAGTGTTCCTAGGCTGGGAAAAGTAACATGGACCACAAAGGTACATGCATATCTGTCTCTCTTGCTTGCCTTCCTTCCATATCTCCCCATTGCTAATGATTCATTCCAAATCCTGGTAATTATCACATTTTAAAAGAAACCCTTGGTTGAAAGAAAAAGTCTATTTTGATATTGAAGATGTTGGCCCAAAGTTTGTGCATGCACACATGCACACACATGATCGTCTCTTCTTGGAAATAATCCAAATGCCACAAATACAACAAACCCAAACATCATGTCTAATATCTATGAAACTAAACAATATTGGAAGAGATGATGCAGTCAGTGATTTATTGGAGGTGCACCAATTGCTCTAAAGTTTGGTTTAAATTGGTTTTCCACTGGCGTAAAGACTCAGAAGAGTTGAATCTAAGTGTGTAATTACACAGAGAAACCATATTTTCAGAGACAATTTTGGTTCTGGCTCTGGAGAACAACACAGATTTTTGCCATGAGAGCTCCCCACTGGCATTCATTCTGCGTTTGGATGTTATAAATTCACACAAAAACTGACATCCTGTAATATACCTCTGAACATGTTTTAACACAACTATTGTGGAAATAACTCTAGGAGAAACCATTTGCTTTGATGATTGGTAACCAAAAGGAATGGATACAAGATCTGTATGAAACTAATGTAAGAAAAAAAGAAAATTTTAAGTGATGAATACTCACCGAAGGATCAGCACAGAGCAGATGAAAGTCATGGCATTACTGACGGAGAATCAAGTGATGTTAGAAAGCACCTGCCTTTTTAGGCAAGAAATAAGAGCAGAGATGCAAAACCTTTGGGGAGGTCTCGTGAAATTGTGCACTAGAAAAACTCAGTAAGTAAATGGAAGGAAAAAAACCCTATAGTAATGAAGGCAAAATTTAGGGTGGTCATATTGGACCCTGATTGAAACACAGCTTAAGGGACATAGAGAATAGGACTGAAAAAAAAATGAGCAAAATTACGTT